ATATATTATGTCTTAATTTAATTAGCAAATTGTTAAGAATAAGTATTCCAGCCATTAACCACGTAATTACATTTATTTTATGCGTCGTCATTTTCTATAAAAAGGCATGTCCATGTACGGTATGTTTGTTAAGACGCAGTTTCATACAATTCCATTAGAGAAACATCCAAATGTAGAAACAAACAAGTAAACAAACTTTCTCGTTCATATAACATCAGTAAGTTAAGAAGGATTAAGCGATTGCTGTTTAGTAAAAGGCGCCCGTTAAATCGGGGTCGAACCCATATACTATAAATGAGGGTATATGTAATGAAAACATTAACGTATCGGACTTGTTTTAGCAAGTACTGGCTTACAACATCACAAAAGCAGATTCAAGAATTAAGAAGAATGTTGGAATTTATTTGGATATGGCACTTTACACGATATGCACGCTAGGAGACCCATAATATTCATTTTATTAACCTTGGACTATTCTATTTTGTCTTAAACTAAGCAGAACTTGTCTGTTGTGGGTACTAGACAGCTGATATAATTAGATATTTTTTTGTAAATATATCCATATAATACATTAAAACACGCAGGCCGATACAAAAAATTATACTGAAGAACACAAATGTTTGTGCTGTATCGAGGAATCGAATCCGCGACTATCGGAAGCAAAGCGGTGGACTAAACCTCCAGAACATCGAGGACTATCGGCAATCGGCTTTTTTGGAACAGTGTCGCCGTTTTATATATCGGCAGTTACCACATACAACCATCTCACGTTGTGGGCAGGCAGATTCTTTCCAATTACATAAAAGAAATTAAAACTGTAGCCCAGAAAAGCAAAGTAGTGCTCATATTTTTCATCTCCCTTTCACCCCCTTACTACCCTTTTTTCGTATTAAAAAATAGCTTATATCCTTTCTTTCTTTCAGGGTCTAGACTATGTGTGGACCAAATTTCTTTTAAATCTGTTTAGTAATTTTGGCGAGAAAGTGTGACATACAGACAGACATACATATTTTCGCATTTGTAATATTTGTAACATTATAGCCATATAGTTTAGTTTAGTTTTCTATGGTTATATCACCTTATAAGTATCACCTTCAATCACAATATTTTTCTCTATGAAAGCCAAGACTTCGACTCTACAGAAACAGCTAACTACAGTTTGCTTGTTTTCGCAAATATAATTGGAACTAAAAACTTTCGCCGCTTCACTTTTTTGCTAATCCTTTTGTACATCCATGTAGTAAAGGGTTCGGGAGCTCATTTAGGAAGGCTTAACGAGACGAGCTTAGTCTGGTAGGTATGACCGACTTACCAACTCCCGGTACCAAATTTTTTGCTTCGATAGTTCAGTTTTGTTTTGTACAAAATACACAGCTACATTTATCAGGACATTTGGTAATGAAATTGCTGTAAAAATATTTTTTTTCTGAACATTTTTGCGTTCAGGAAGGTCGAAGATCTGGTTAAGATCGCCGATCAGGTGAACACAAAGTGGACCGATGATCTGATCAAGATCGCTGGAAAGCGTTGGACGCGAGCAGCGCAGGATGGATCGTCGTGGAGAATTTTAGGGGAAGCCTTTGTTCAATAGTGGACATCTACCGGGTTGAAATGATGATGATCATGATTTACATCAGTCCTAAGACTAAGAGCGCACTTAGCGATTTTGTGATGGTGTTTTGTAGAGTGTCTTTATATTGGAAGCATCTACTGCAGTAGCTCTAGACTGCAGATGGCTTAAAGCTACTGCAGTAGAGGCAGGTATTCTAGTTCTAGAAAATGATGGCGTTTTAGTCGTCTCACATACAGATCCATGGTGAATTATTGAGCAACTTCATTAGGGTTTATAACAAAATATGTAGATATCTATACATATAAATAAAATTGGAGTGTCTGTTTGTAATATTGAAATAACCGTTTTTTACATGCATATGAATATAAATACGGCACATACACCAAAATAACATTTTTTACAAGAAGTAACATAGGCTACTTTTATATTAGAAAAATAAAGTTAAATTCCACGCGGACGAAGTCGCGGATACAGCTAGTAAATAATAAAATACAGATGCTTTCACAAAGATTTATGACTATATATATATATCAAAATTCAGAAAAATGCTTTCATAATATAGTAAGACTTTAAGTCCTCGACGACCACGGACTAAGACGCAGCGTCCATATATCAATATAACGATCGTCGCGGAGATCTTTGGGGGAGGCCTATGTCCAGCAGTGGACGTCTTCCGGGCTGCGATGATGATGATGATGATGATAAGTTAACAGGAACTTTATTCATATTTTTATCCTATGATTTTCGTCGCGATTTTTGGCGGCGGTGAATGTAGCACACCTAAAAATAGGTCTAAGTATTTATATAAGTTGCCCAATGCCCATAACACAAGCTCAGCTTCGCTTGGAACTAGATGGCGTTATGTGAATTATAGAGCGATGTGTTAAACTGCTAGACTTCAATATTCAAAATTCAAAAATCATTTATTCATGTTGGACATTTTAGCCGCTTATGACCGTTAGTTTTTACATTATATTTTTTTTTCCCTACCGTCCAGTTCAGTATATAGATCCAATTGACATCAAAGATAATGCGAACAAAGCCACAGGTTTCAGCAAGTCTTTAAATGTTGATAGCTCTATTGAATTTGTTGGACAACATACACGGGAAGTAAGAAGCTTTCAACCACTTACTGCTAAAAACATATTTACTCTTAATAATTTAAGTTAATGCTCTTTGCATAATTATGAAGGTAAAATTTAATTTACCGTGCAAACTGGTGAGCACCCTCGGCTGTGCCATATTTCCTAAATTACCATGATGTTTTGAGTCTGTGGTAATAAACGTCGTTAGAATGTTTGTGCTTGTTGATGGAAACTGCATAATGTGTTTTCAAGTGTCTTTCATGTAGAATGTTTAAGAGAAGTATGCGCGTAATAGTAATAAAATTACGACGGTTGTGTCATACAAAATAAGGAAAATATAAAACAATTATAACACAAGAAATAAAGATAAACGTTTTATACCAGAAAAAAGACTAGCAAAATCTATTTATTGACGGCCTCGGTGGTATAGCGGTTTAATGTCTTACTTCCGATGACGCGGGTTCGATTTCTCGCACGGTACAAACATTTGTATTCATGAGTATGATTGTTTACATCCGTCTGGGTGTTGTCTATATTAAATATGTATGAATTTACGACAAATATATCTATGTATCTGTTACGTTAATACCCATAACACAAGCTTTAGCTAGCTTAACTTGGAACTGGATGGCGCTGTGTGAATTGTCCTGAGATTATTATAGAAGATAATGATGTAATTAGTGCAGCAAAAAAATAACCGGTTTATTGATTTTGAAATTTAGAAGAACTTTAAAGTATTTTTTTGAAAATAATTCATTTTATTACATTCATCATATATTTCAAAGTCAAATTTAAATTAATCTCAATGTTTACTTAACATTTTTTTTCATGTATTAGTATTCTTCAGTATTCGTTCTATCTCTATTCAGAGACCTTGTGTCTCCGTTCAACCAAGCGAGATAGCAATACTTTCAATCGAAATTTTGCCGTAAATATTTACGTTCGGCTCTACTCGTCTTACTCTATTATTACAGTAAATATGAAGGTATTTTTTTCAATATAATTCCAATGTCTTGCATATTTTTTCTTATTTTATTACTATCTTGGATTGTTCATACGAATTAATTAAAGACACGTCCTTTTTTTAATTGTAATTCTAAAACAAACTTGTATGAAGAAAATGTGACTAGTATGAAATGTTGATGTTGGTTGTGTTATTCTATGGACGAAATTTCATAGAATTTCATTAGTTATTGTAGAAAATTTATCATAGTAACACGTTTAGGTAGCTACGCATTAAATTTAAAATCTAAAAATATAAATAAAATGCCCGGGTTTACATGTATAATACATATAATATATATAAACTTTCCTCTAGAATCTCTCAATCTATTAAAAAAAACCGTTGCGGAATTTTAAAGATTTAAGCATATATAGGAACAGACAACGAGAGCGACTTTATTTTATACTATGTAATGATGATGTTCAATATTGTGGATACGTAATAACTTATCACAAACCCGGCGCATAATCCTAATAAGTGTTAAAACCTTTTCAATAGTCTGCATTTGTGAACGAAAGTTCTGTGGTAAAAAGGCTTCATACATCAGACTAGAAGCACGTACGCACGTGACGTAGAATTCATTATATTTTATTGGTAATACACGAAATCACCCGGTTATCGTCAACACCGTGCCCTTTTTTACGCGGCTACGAAAGTTTTATGGTTTTTTTACGCGCATTCTATATATATCGCACCTTTAGAAAATAGGTCGATAATTTTTTTTTTACTACATTTTTCTCGTCTCAGGTAAAGGCAAGAGCACTGAGCCTATACAGCCATTGTCTTCGGCAGTATTGTAATGTTATATTTCCTTTAATTTATTTCTTTACAATTGATATCTCTATTCAGATACTTCGGTGGTCTAGCAGTTTGGGAACGCCGCTTTACTTCCAAGTCGCGGGTTCGATTCTCGCAAGGTACTATCATTTGTATTTATGAATATAAATGTTAGTATCGGTCTGAGTATTTTCTATGTATATTATATATCTAATTACAAAATATGTATCTATGTATTTCTATCAGTTGTCTAGCAAATGTAACACAAGCTCTGCTTCATCATCATCAACATCATCAGCCCACTGCAGTCTACTGCTGGACATAGGCCTGATAAGCTCTGCTTATCTTGGGACTAGATGGCGCTGTGTGAATTGTCCATGGTTATTATTATTTCTTTACTCTTTTAATTCTCGAAGTTATTATTATTATTATTATATGTACATTGTTAGCAGTTGAACCAATAGTAGGTTAGGTAGGTAGGGTAGGTAGTACAATATCCTCCCTCTTCCCTCTCCCACACGATGCAATATATGTTTTATTAACATACACACCTTGTTCTCAGGTTCTGGCCGCGCTTGCAGTGTCTTTGGCACCATTTTCCGCTGGTCTGGGCAAGGGCTACAGCTCACCTGCTATTGCGTCTTTGCAAGGGCCTGGTGCTAATGCTACCAGGAGAGACTTCCAACTGACAGATCAGCAGGCTTCGTGGCTGGCGTCTCTTTCATTCTTAGGTAAAACTGAATTTTTTTCCACAGACTGATGCGTGCTCTTCTTAACTTGTTTTCTTTTTCTAAATATATATAACTCAAAAGTGACTGACATAGTGATCTATCAACGCACAGCGCAAACCAATGAACGGATCGAGCTGAAATTTGGCATGCAGGTAGATGTTATGACGTAGGCATCCGCTAAGAAAGGATTTTATTATTTCTACCCCCGAAGGGATAAAATAGAGGATGAAAGTTTGTATGAAACTTTGTCAATATTAAACCGATTGGGCTGAGACTTTGCATGCATAAAGCTACTATGACTTTACTTATTACGTTACTTACTTTATTACGTTACTCCTTCACGCAAAAACCACTGAATGGATTTTGATGTAACTACAGTAGCATAACTTATACATCAGAATAAAACATAGACTATAATTTAAAAAGATATTCCGTTAATTAGGCTATATATAATGATAAGTGTGTTGCAGACGAAGTCACGCGAGTTAGCTAGTTTTGAATGTTGAATGAAGTTTCTCATTTTTTTCCCTCATAATCGTTTACAGGTTTTATTACATTTAAATTTTACAGTTTTCAGTTTACTGGCTGGGCTGTCTAGTACCCATAACACAAGTTTTACTTATATTGGGACTAGATGGCGCTGTGTGAATTGGTCAAGCATATTGTTGATATATTATTATTATTACATAACTTAAAAAGTCAGAAGAATATAATAAAATGACTAAATTAAAATGATTTTTGACTTTTTAGTTTATTCTCTACTACACGTAGAGAATACAACTTTATTTAAATAGACACTAAGATGTTTAACAGATATTTTCAGCTATACAAATATTTAGAAATAAATATTACGTTTCTCCATATATGTAGTCGTAACTTTGAGATAGTTGAAACAAGGCGTTGGTGGTGTAATGGTGAGCATAGTTGCCTTCCAAGCAGTTGATCCGGGTTCGATTCCCGGCCAACGCATACTTTTAAAACCTTACTATATTAATTAGCCAAATATTGGTCACGTGTATTGTATTGTTAAATTGTGTATGTCGTATAATAAATTATGTTTCGCCATTTTAGAATAGTACATAGCTGCGTTGGTGGTGTAATGGTCAGCATAGTTGCCTTCCAAGCAGTTGATCCGGGTTCGATTCCCGGCCAACGCATAATTTTGAAACATTACTACATTAATTAGCCAAATATTAATCATGTGTTTATTAAATTGTATATGTCATATAATAAATTATGTTACGCCATTTTATAATAGTACATAACTGCGTTGGTGGTGTAATGGTCAGCATAGTTGCCTTCCAAGCAGTTGATCCGGGTTCGATTCCCGGCCAACGCATAATTTTATATAAATTACTACATTAATTGGCCATGTATTGCTAAATAAAATATATGAGGTAATTTGTACGTTTGTGTGAATATCTCACGATAAGAACTTATTACATACCGACTCTACCTTTAAATATGTCTCTCTCTATATATAGTATGAATTATTAAATTATATGAATGTTACTTAATAAAGTATGTTACCTTTTATAATCTTTGCGTTTTCTTACCCTTCCAGATATCTATAAGAAATATAAATTACGACATTAATTGAGTATTGCTAAATAAAGATGATATGATATGTTTGTGTGAAATCTCACGTTAAGAACTTATTTTATCGAGCGGCCTCTAATATATAGGTATATCTTTCTGATACTCCTTTTGCCTGACGGATACGAAATATAACGACAAGTCTGAGATGACATACCAAACCCGCTAGGGGCTGAGGGAAGTCTAGGGTTTTGAACCTCGGCTCAGGCCGTCGTAATTTTGATCCCCGTTACAATTTGACGGGAGATCGATCGGAAAGGCAACCAGGAGTGCCGCGAGTAAGACGGTGCGCTGAACCTCCAGACCATTATATACATTCCAGGTGCACTCTTCGGCGGCATGGCAGGAGGAGCAGCAATGCGTCACGGTCGTCGCCGGGTCTTGTCCCTGGCAGCAGCACCATGCAGTCTCTCCTGGCTGCTCACAGTCCTGGCCACATCCGTCAGGATGATGTGCATTACCGCCTTCCTGGGAGGATTTTGCTGTTCTATTCTGACTATGCTGTCACAGGTTTGTACACAATTCTTTAAAGTATTTTATATTAAGTATTGTATTATTATCATTGTTTACTAATCGTTACACGCAATTTCGACCACGTGGAGTTAAAATATCTATGACATTTTATATAACTATAATGATGAAATCATCATCATCATCATCATCAGTGCATTCCAGTCTATTGCTGGACATAGAACTCTCCCAAGTCACGCCATAGGCGTGATCTTCATTTCTTTTTCGAACTACCCTAATGCAAGCCGCAGCTGGCCTTTACAGCTTCACCGGACGATAGGGGGCGAGTGCAGATGGCACTCCACCCTGCGGAAGGACTTATAGCAGCTGAAAATCAACACGCGCCTGACGGAAACGACTTTAGTTTGAGGGCACTGCTAGGGGTTCGAACCTCGGCTCAGGCCTAATTTCGATCCTCGTTTAAATTGGACGGGGGATAGATTGTAGGGTCGACCGGAGGCCCGGGCGCGCGGTTGATTGCGCGGTATGGTATGTTTGAGGTCGTTGTCTTCACCGGCGAGGACGGTGTCGTGTGTGTGTGTGAAAGCATGGTAGAGACAGAACGGGGGGACCCATAGGGATCATCATCTTTAACACTTCTTTTCCAGTTATTATCCAGAACCGTACGTATGTCGTCGCTAGCTGCAGTGATGAGATGTCGCTACTAAAATTATTTGTTTGCTGTAGTATCTAGGTAGTGAGTACACAGATGGAATGATTGTACTACATTAGTAAGTTTATTTGATAGTATGTTACATGGCTTATTAGTAACGCGTACATTCAACGCGGAGTCGTAACGCGGACTGATTTACACTGGAGTTAACTCTACATAAGTTATGTAGAGACTTAAACTAATGGAAGGGTGCCGTGTGTTGGTAGAGATATTACAAATGTAGGTACAAATAAATAAAATTTGGATAAGTTAGTCCGTATAATATTAACTATCCCATCAAAATCGGTCTAGCCGTTTCAGAGACTAGCAAGAAGAAACAAACAGATATATTTTTTTTAATTAATGGCCGAGGCCGTTAATTTTACCCACCATACCAATATAATTAGATTATTATTACTATAATCTTATTATTACTATAATTAATGAGATTATTATTACTATAATCTCCGAACAATTCACACAGCACACTCTAGACCCAAGCTAGCTAAATCTTGTGTTATGCGTACTAGATAACTAATACGTAGATTTTTTTTTTCGTAAATACATACATATTATCCATAGAGAACACCCAGACCGATACAATCAATCATGATAACAAAATGTTTATACTGCTCGAGAAATTGAATCCGCGACCACCGAGGGCGTAATATATACCCACTATACCAATACAGCCAAAGAGGGTATCTCCGCTTTTAACAAATTTACATGAGTCCATAATAGTAAACAAGATTGTGAATTAAATTTCAGCTGAACCATTAAAATTCTGTCAAACCATCCACGTCCCTGTTTTATCTCTGATCCGTTGTCGCCAGCAAATCATCCCAAATTGGACCTTATTGCTGAAACATTAGGTTATAATCCTTTCAGTAGATAACAAATGCTTTTATCTTGTTGAAGAAACTAATTTTCAGTAGGCCCGCATATTCCCAAAGCAATTACTATGGTGTCTGAGTTTGACAAGAAGATCAGGACTGTCTCTTAAGATTTATATCTTATCACTCAGTTTGAATTACCTGACATTACAATTAGAATTGGAAGTTCTTTTATTTTGTTAAAGACAGAACATAATTTTTTTTTTATAGATAGATAAGATTTTTTTTCTATCTTAGAATACACAATTAGGCTTAATTACAAATAATATATAATGCAGATTATTATTTAAACCAATACAATACAATATGGATAAACCTGTAAGCAATACAAAGCGGTACACAGCTCAGTGTGAAGAAAGGACACCCGGGCCAATACAAACAACGATACTAATTAATAGAAATTATACTATGCGAGGAACCGAACCCACGACCATCGGAAGTAAGGCGGTATGTTAAACCGCCAGACTACTGAGGCCTTAAAAATGTGTTGAATAATTTAAATATGTTGTTTAAATTATCCAACACATTTGTTACTTTAATAAGTTCGTGAAATATGCTGTGATGGACAGACGGACAGACAGACAGATGGATCGGCAGAGTCATGTTATATGGTACCTAATTAACATTTTTGGGCCGTAACCCAAAAGAAAGACGAATATACATTTCGTGGTAATTTGTGGTATTTACAGAAGTATGTATAAAAATATCAATTATGTTATTTTAATAATTATATATCTTTTCCCGCCAAAATCGGTCCAGCCATTTCAGAGATTAGCCGGAACAAACAGACAGACAGACAAAAATTTAAAAAAATATTATTTTGGTGCATATACCGTATTTATATTGTAAAAAATGGTAATTTCAGTATTACAAACATACACTACAATTTATTTATATGTATAGATATTATAATAATTTAAACTTTATTGAACATTTATTGCCCTCCCGTACCATTTGTGGATAATATTCACCACGTGGATTTTATTTGCCATAAAATTATTCATCTTAAAACCCGTTTAACTATACCAATAATGTGTATTCATCGCGAAAGTTTAAGAACACGGATGTCTATGCTCTTTCACTACGGCCCATAAATCTGTTGAGTGAAATTCTTTTTAGAGATATTTAATAAAAAAAATTGTTTCATAAAATTACTATATAAAGACTGTCTCACAATTTCACGAGCATGTAACACCCCATTAATAATTGATAAATGCTAACTTCGCTCGCATTTTCCTTAAATAGCGCCCAAGTTATGTGTGCCTCACCGGGACGTCAGACTTACAAAATTCTCACAACTAGGGTTGCCAACTTCAAACAAAGACAGTTTTTTTTAATTATGAATATTCCTCCACCGTTCCGTATCATTACTTTATCATTATCATCATTATATAGTATAAAATAAAGTATCTGTCACTGTCTCTCCCTATATATGCTTAAATCTTTAAAACTACGCATCGGATTTTGAATCGGTTTTTTTAATAGATAGAGTGAATCAAGAGAAAGGTTTATATATATAATACATGTATGTACACCCGGGCGAAGCCGGGGCTGGTAGCTAGTAAAATAATATTTAGAAATGGTACATCCCTCCGTGTTAACTGTTTAAGCTGGCAGGACTCTAGTAGGTGATACCTGACTACGTCAGGTCAAGCTCGTCGTGGCAATTTATCACGATGATTTCCAGGGAGAAGTCAATATATTATTGCTAGCTATGGGATTAAATAGACATACATATGTTATAGACAATTGAAATATAAATAAAATCTTTTGAAGCATTTGGGATGTATTGATTGAAGCATTTGTTGTACCTCTGATTGGTGTAGTTCATTCCAGTGATTGGGTCCCATCCCAAAAAGAACAATAGCCGTCGTATAAATGAACGCATAAAAGCAGTTCAAAAGGCGTAAATCAACTGAACACTTGTTGGTATTTTTTTTTATGGATGATAATGAAATGGTGCACCCGCCTGCGCTAACGGTTTACGCTGGTGGGGCACCAGTGGAGGATGATAAGATGAGCATGAGGTCAGGTCAGTTAGCCCATCGGGACAAATTTATCAAGAATTTATGTCGATGGTTTCCAGGGGGAACCGCGTGGAGGTCGACCTGACAATCAACCATTGCTACCAATGAGATCATCAGTCAACATTACTAACAATTCCCTTTCCCCCCACACTTGTTGGTATTGGAAACCAATCCCAGAATTTATCTACACCAAACTGGAAGTCGCTTAAAAATGTGTATGAATTAGAAAATATAGAAAGAGGGCTAGAGTTTAGATTTCAACAGATCGCATCATAACACTAAAAAATTTTTAGCTTTCAGAATTGGACTTTGCCTTACAGTTTTTCATAGGAAAATGGTTCCTAAATTTGTAATTTTTGCGTTAATCCAGTTTAGTACTGGGTGTGCCATATTATAACATTCAAATAAAATATTAGTGCTCTTGATTTTGACAGCGTTACTCCCAGTTGTATAAGAACTAGTCCGTATTCGATTCAAACAATAGTAGGTACGCCTTAAAATAATAAATACTCCAAAAGAAACGTCTTTCTTTTCAAAATAAAAAAATAATTTTTTTCTTACGACGAAACAATAACATTAGAGAACACTATAACAAAGCACTGTCTCAATATATATAATTCGTCTGTGAGTGCGTTTATGACTTAAATCCTAAATAGCTGAACCGAAATTATATTTTTATTCGTATTTTAATGGGTTTCTCCTCACTCTCTCTCACTCTCTCACTCCATTGGACACTCTCTCTGGCTCTCACTCCATTGGACCCGGTAGGTGACTTTGCTTTTTTGAAAATATAGGAAGACGGCTAGAGTTTAGATTTCAAATCGCATAATTACACTCAAAAATTTCTAGCTTTCAGAATCAGACTTTACCTTACAGTTATTCATAGGATAATGGTTCCTAAATTTGTAATTGACAGTGTTACTATCAGCTGGATAAGAACTAGTCCGTAACAAAGCACTGTCTCAATATATATAATTCGTCTGTGAGTGCGTTTGTGACTTAAATCCTAAACGGCTGAACTGAAATTATATTTTTGTTCGTATTTTAATGGATTTCTGGAACACTCCATTGGACCCGGTAGGTGACTTTGCTTTTTTGGGTAGTACGCCTCTCGGATCTCCCATTATCTATATATTAATACGTAAATCAAAAACTTTTACCCTTTTTACGAAAATTGCGCGGTCGAAAGTATCAAATTTCGCAAACTTGTAGAAAAGAAGTGCAGAATACTAATATTTTAAATTATGGATAAAAAATACACTAAATCAATAAAAATCATTAAACATACTACTATGTACTTGACACACATACACTTATATACTTTTGTTTTAATTGTTATTGATATTCAAAGATCGTTTATATTACATTACTAGCTGTTCCCCGAGACGGAGTCCACGTGGAATTTAACTTTCATTTTCTAAAATAAAAGTTGCTTAAGTTACTCATTATATCAGCTACCTGCCAATAAAAGTTCCGTCAAAATCGGTCCAGCCATTTCAGAGATTAGCCGGAACAAACAGACAGGCAGACGAAAAATGATATTTTGATGTTTGTACCGTATTTATATTCATATGCATATAGTAAAAAAACAGTTATTGCAATTACAGACACTCCAATTTGATTTATATGTATAGATTATGGTCGAATTTCGACTAGTGTCTGAATTCAAATTCAAATTCAAATTCAAAATATCTTTATTCATGTAGGTCTATTACAGACTCTTATGATATGTCAAATCTACCGTCAGTTCGGAATGATTTCGAGATGAGAAGAACTGACAAGAAACTCAGCTCGTATTTTTTTTTTTTTAATGTTGTACATATTTATAATAATACTATTTCATTTAAATTCAAATTTGGGAGAATAGAGTGACCACCAGCATATGCTATATAAAAAAAAATCAAAAAAAATCAAAAAATCTAATCAGTGTTCGCAACCTGAACAGACCAGTCCCCACAAGCAGCACCCGTACACGAGTATGACGGATGAGCCAGCCATCATTGCACTCAACCATATTAGAGGGAGCACATCGACCCGGCCCACCACGCCGCCACAAGTTTGAACTTTATAGCGAGCATTACTGTTTCAAGTTACTCCACTACGTCAATTATATTATTTACAGCATAAACTGTACCAATCACAGTTTTCACCCATTACAATATTTAATTTACATTATTTAAATTACAATATGTCATTATAAAAATCTGTAATTGAAACAAATAAAAATCATCGTCAACCCTGCACAAGGAGGAAAGTTGCCCGTGATAAAATTATTATTTATTAGTTCCCAAGCTGAGATGAAAATGAAATGAGAGCTTGTTTGCCTTAATACCTACGAGCAGCTGTTTAATTATAAATTAGGTAATTGCCTGAAACGAGATTAGTGTGATTAAACTGTATTGTTTAAGATATCGAGCCTCTTCATTTATTGCTCTCACAAAATGGTCCATTAGTTTTTACGTTGCAAGGTCTAAGGTTTATAATACTACGTTCTGGAAAATTTGTTGGAGTTAAAATTTATTGGTTAACTTTTCTAGACCGTTAAATGTTCCGAGATTGTTTAAAGTTTGACATGCAATTTTTTAACTTATATTATAATGTTATGGTTGAGTTGTGAAGGTATTGTGACGTAGGTTGGTAGAGAGACCCCTTAGACTTATACTTGAATTTCAAGTACCGGGAACTGCTCAGTTTGCTTTCTGCCACACCCCGGACCCTGGACCCGCCACCCGCACAGTGCACCCATGGAATGCTAAGTTTGTCTTTCTCGCTCAACCATCAAGTATCATTGTGCTTTATTCGTAATGGTTTGAGGGTATTATTTATTATTTAAACATATACATAACGTAGTTTTTTAACATATTTTGGAACATGTTGTAGAAAATAGCTATAATATAATAAGTACCCTAGTACTTGTTATATCTAGCTATTTTCTAATTGTCGGCTGGACGTATTTTGACGGGACTTTTATTGGCTGATGTAATAAGGAGTAACTTAGGCTACTTTTATTTTAGAAAATGAAAGTTAAATTCCACGTGGACGACGTCGCAGGAAACGGCTAGTAATGAATATAAAAGATCCTTAAATATCAATAACAATTAAAACAAAAGTATATGAGTGTATGTGTGTCAAGTACATGGTAGTGTGTGTAATGTTTTTTATTGATTTAATGTATTTTTATCCATAATTTAAAATATTAGTATTCTGCACTCCTTTTTCTGCACTTCAATTTTGCGAAATTTGATACCTTCGACCACGCAATTTTCGTAAAAAGGGTAAAAGTTTTTGCTTTACATATTAATATATAGATAATGGTAGATCCGAGAGGCGTACTACCCAAAAAAGCAAAGTTACCTACCGGGTCCAATAGAATGTTCCAGAAACCCATTAAATTACGAACAAAAATATAATTTCAGTTCAGCCGTTTAGGATTTAAGTCACAAAGGCACTCACAGACGAATTATATATATTGAGACAGTGCTTTTGGGGGGTTATTTATTATTTAAACATATACGTAACGTAGTTTTCGAATATGTTTTGGAACATATTATAGAAAATTGCTAGATAATATAATAAGTACCCTAGTATTTGTTATATTATCTATACGCCTCGATTTCGCGCAGGTATACAATTCACTGCGTGGTTCAAAATAAGTTAGCGCAGAAACAGACCGATGGCATTAAATTTTAAATTAGAAATATGTACCTAAATAAATTATATATAAAACAAATTTAAAATTAACTCTTTCTCATTTGTAATATTTTTAATTACAGGTGTACATCAGCGAGATATCAGTCCCAGATATACGGGGCTGCCTCAGTGCCGTCCTGAAAATCGTCGGCCATCTTGGAGTCTTATTCAGCTTTACCATCGGTGCCTATCTAGACTGGCAGCAACTAGCGCTTTGCATATCAGCTGCTCCTCTACTTCTCTTCTGTACCGTTCTCTACATACCAGAAACGCCAAGCTATCTCATGTTAATAGGGAAAGATGAGGAAGCCTACAAAAGTTTGCTATGGTTACGGGGACCCAACTCCGATGTCGCTCAGGAATTAGCGACTATACGGACAAACGTCCTCGCGAGCAAGAACTTCAGTCAAAGGCAAAGTCAAATGTCAGGCACACAATTCATCAATTCACTCGATGTAAGAACTATGAACAGGTTACTCGGCCCTATCCTAGTTACTTGTGGATTGATGATGTTCCAACGCTTTTCTGGCGCACATGCCTTTTCTTTCTACGCGGTTCCCATTTTTAGAAAGACTTTCGGTGGCATGAACCCTCACGGTGCTGCTATAGCTGTCTCCTTCGTTCAGCTGCTCGCGTCATGTCTTTCAGGTTTATTAATTGATACCGTTGGTCGACTTCCACTATTGATAGTCAGTTCAGTCCTCATGTCCATGGCATTAGCCGGTTTTGGCAGTTACGCGTACTACGAAGAAGTGCATAGAAATCAGAGAATTCAAAACGTGATGTTCCATCAGACAATTGGACAGAATGATTGGATTCCTCTGTTATGTGTGCTGGTGTTTACGATAGCGTTTTCCTTGGGCATGAGTCCGATATCCTGGTTGCTTATTGGGGAACTATTCCCCCTGGAGTACAGAGCGTTTGGCAGCGCAATGGCTACAGCGTTTAGTTACCTCTGCGCGTTCGTTGGAGTCAAAACATTTGTAGATTTCCAACAAACTCTTGGTTTGCACGGAGCGTTCTGGTTGTACGCGTCTATAAGTGTTGGAGGTCTTTGCTTTGTGGTCTGCTGCGTTCCGGAGACAAAGGGTAAGGATTTGGATGAAATGGATCCAAATTATGTACAAAGTCTCTCGCCTAAAAGGTAAAAAGGATATGGGCATAGTCAATTTTGAATTTTAATTAGAAATATTACAGTAAGTTTGCTCATTATAATATTATCGCGTTTCCAGAATAATTGATTAATTAAGTTGTTTATATTGATTTATTTTATTTATCTTGTTTTATTTTATTGTATGTTTTATTATGGGAATTATTAAAGAAAAGATCTCTTATGTAGGGTTAAGAAAATACAGCGAGGGTCAGTGTCAGTTAAATAATGTGACAGTGTGTGTAAGAATCACAATGTATCGAATCCACCGCAAAATGTTGGCTGTGCTTATTCAATTTTTAAAATAAAAGAAACTATGACGCCACAGTTTTATGGTGGTCCCTTACACTATAATGTTTACTATAAACTCATATTATTCTTGCATATCGACGATTCCATATCTTTAATTATAATTTTATTTATAATTATGAATTATTAAATAAAGAATAACACTGCAATTTTAAACAAAAAAGATTAACATTAATATTTTTTTTTGTTATAGCCAGTGGTGGCTAGGCAAGAAATTCAAATTATGAGGTAAATTTAAGAAAATATCATTAGAAGTTATGAAACATAAAACATAAAATAATAATTAAAGAATATTTATAATATTTTTAGTAGGTATGGTATACATTTAAAACTAAAATAAATGAAGTTGAAGCTTTAAATTAAAAGTAACAAAAATATTTTTTTCTAATTATTTACTGACAGGTTTTATCATAAAGTGCTGTTCTTATTTTCTAGGAACGCGTAAAATAAAAATAAACTAATAAATATGGAATTTTTTATATATAATTTTTACATTTATATGAATTGCAGTGTTATTTTTTATATATTATATATAAGTTACATTCAATAATATTTTATTTACTATAATTATGTATATATCATAAGAGTGCTGTGGTCCATTCTTTACCTCTCTATAAACTCCCTAGTTATTAATATTAGTAAAAAAACCTATATCTCGTATTTCCAAATAGCAAAATTATCTTTAACAATACTTTTAAATCGAGCTTTCCTACCTTTACTATGACAATAAATAGAGACAATAATTATTTAATCAAATGATTAAATTATGTAATTGTTAATTAATTAGATAATATAATAATTAATATAGAAGTAATCAGTTTGAAATTTACGATTTACGAAAATTTCTCGTTTACACGTGAAGGAGAAATAATGCAATTATTTGCCAGAGTTATATAGTAGAGTTAAATATTTATTAGAATAATACAAAAAAATTATCATACAGTTTTTCAACATGTATGTACATACAAATATAGATTTTACCAATTGTCTCTCGTTGCAATGCTCATTTCTGTTATATGTCTATTTACAAACATGTTATGGGAATTAAACAACCAAAAATACAAATTCATTATTTTCAGAGTCCTGACCGGATACTTAATAATATTATTTTATTTATTATTTATTATTATTAACACAGAAACTTAATAATATGAAATTATGAACAAAAAATAGAAGATGAAGAATATTCTTCTTATTCTTCTGAAAATAAAAAGTAATGTTCCATATAATAAACAGTATATTATTATTTATTCTATTTTACTTATATAAATATTTTATTATAATTATAATTTAAATTGGCAAAATATGAAACCATTCAGTAATATGTATTTATGTATTATCTTAAATATGTTAGTTGTAATTAGTTAAATAAATATTTATAGATTTAGGGGAACAATTATTTTTCTTAGCGCCTAACGTGAACTTATGAATGAAATGTGCGTTAGTGATATTAAAATCATTAGTTTGTTGTTTTAACTAAAATATTGAAATTATTATGGTGATATAAATTGCATCTTTCTCTCTCTATGTTTCTTTCTCTCGGTTTTGTGTCTCATTCTGTCTTCATCTTTCTGTCTCTTGGTGAATACGTTATTATTTTGTAATTTAAGTTTATTTTGTAACTATTTTTATATACTAAACATAATTTTAAAAAGTGTCTGATAAACTAGTTGTACTAGAATTAAAGTTTGGCTGTTTATTTACATCAATTTTGTTTATTTAACAAAAATATTGGTTATTACATAAGTATGTTTAATTTCTAAAGTAACTCAACTAATGTGCCATTGCTGGACAAAGCAATATCGTTATACAATTTTTGTGTATTATGTGAAAATAATAATAATTTACATATTATTGTTTAATTTACATGTAACAATTCTTCAAGTATTTATTATTTTAGTAAATAATTAAGTATAGTGTGCTAAATAATATAATTTATTTATCTTAACGCGAATCCTCTTTCGGAATATACAGAAAAAGAATTGCCCTTAACCTTTAATACAAACAGAAAAAGAAATTCTACTATGCTACAGCTTTTTTTATGTTGTTATCTTCGTCTTTCTACTATTTCTATGTTACAGCTCTTTTTGTGTCATTAAATTTCTTATCTTTGTCTAATGCATATACATGCTGTTCCACCCGACTCCTTTTACAAGCACATTATCCTTCCAATGATGAGTTACTTAGTGAGTATAATACAATTTTTACTTTAATTTATTTAATAAAAAGAAGTTTCTAATCTAATGATACATACAGAATTAAACGCTAGAAACTTCTATCCTACATCATGAATGAATGAACGAAACTCTTTTCTGTTCCTCTCACAGAAAATACAGTTACATATACAATTATGTATAAAATAATAATAAAAAAAAAGCAAGACAAAGAGGTAACAATGGGCAGTCATGTCACGGTTTCATCTTCTTTTGATAACTTTTTCTAAATAGATACAGTAGTGTTTGAAAGATGCATCTTAAATCGTCATGAAACTAGTGTACACAATTATAATAATAAATTTGTTTACTTAAAATGGTTATATTATAAACTCAATACGTCATGTATTTTATTTCTAGAAAAAATATCAAAATATCACTATCCTATACTATCACTCTCTCGGCACCCCTCTTACAGGGGGATACCCTGTAAGAAGGGTGCCTAGAGAGTGTGTAAACTCAATTAAATAATATCCGTCATGTATATTTTTGTTATTGTGTGGAAAAATCATCAAAATATTGTCCCCCTCTCAGAGGGGTGCCGAGAGCAATATGTAGGATATTTACTATTAAGTTCACGCCCAAAAAAAATTCTTGATTTTATTATAATTATAACAGTTAATTATGTATCTTTACATAGTATAAAACGAAGTCGTCGCCTCTGTCTGTTCGTTTATATCTCATAAATTACGTAACGGATTGCAATGCAGTTTTTATCTATAGATAGAGTGATTTAAGAGGAAGGGTTATATGTATAATACATGCGGGTTATAGTATATGGTCTGCAGATTTTGACAAGCTGAAGGGGAAACGCGACTGCACATCCTATGAGGTTACAGCTCTCATGCATAAACGTAATATCTCCTTTGGAAAGTGTGCACTCTATCCTGAGATAAAAACCATCGCTCCTAAGAATATCCTTCAATTCTTCTCCCTGATGGGTAAGTAGCGAACTCTGAAAAAGGGCGTGCACAACAGATCTATATAGGTCGCAGTGCTACAAGTTCAAGCACCTGACAATAGCCCAAACAGCCCAATAAAAAGAAAATATATAATATAGGTCAAGCCAGGAAATTCAAGATTCAGATTCAGATTTGTGGCGTGCGAAGCCGGGGCGGTCGTTAGTAAATAATATAATCTTTTTAAGTAATTGTCGTGTAAATTGTCCATTATAGACGGTTGCCTTTATAATAGCTTACGCCTGCCATTCAAGCCTATTATTAACGTTTTATAACTTTATAATTATTAATATTTATTTAATTATCTAATGTTATTGAAAATATAAAAGCTAGATAAAATTTTTAATTAATAAACTTACGAGAAAATATAAAGAAATATTACTCACTATTATTTTATTCTTTATTCAAATGTTATATATCATTAAATATTATTCAATATTTAAAACTATTAAACGACCATATTATTAGATGTAGATATACATTTTAATGCAAAAATATTATTATATATGTATTTAGAAGGCCTAAAACCCTGCGAAGTAATAATAAAAAAAATGGTTTCCTAGTACCAATTATATTGAACATCACTAATTTGTACTGTTTTAAACTTGACGCGGTCATTATTTATACGTATAATTAGTAAAAATCACGGGATCTTACCACGTTTTATATTTATTTACTGAGTTCCCGATATTTCGGTAGTGTTTCAACCACCATGATCACGGGTAGACTGAAGAGCAGCGGGTAGATGGAAAATGAAATCTTTTTATGGGCAGACATAACCTTCAACGTCTTCGTTTGTTGCTACTACTGGAACTCGCTCGATATTCATCTCGGCAAACTGTACTCACAGTATCTTTACGTACATTTAATACACTTTTTGTAGTTCAATCCAATCACTGGATTGAACTACACCAACCAAAAGTGTTAACATCAGAACGGCATTATATCCCAAGAATGGTTAGAGAGGCCATTGAAATACAGAAATATAAAAATTTCAATCGAGAAGACGGCTATAGGCTCTCTAATGCCTGGAATCCAGTGATTGGTTTAATTAAACAAAAACAAAATACGCGATCAAAAAGTGTATTAAATGTACGTAAAGATACTGTGAGTACAGTTTGCCGAGATGAATATCGAGCGAGTTCCAGTAGTAGCAACAAACGAAGACGTGTGAAGGTAGACGCATATGTCTGCTCATAAAAAGATTTCATTTTCCATCTACCCGCTGCTCTTCAGTCTACCCGTGATCATGGTGGTTGAAACACTACCGAAATATCGGGAACTCAGTAAATAAATATAAAACGTGGTAAGATCCCGTGATTTTTACTAATTATACGTATCACTAATTTGCATTTAGAAATTTAATAATTCGAAATATAATGAAGCAAATTATGAATTATTAAATTAAAATTAATAGACAAATAATAGGTTGTGAATTTATACATTTTCTAGATTTTTTATAATAACGATAAAATGAATATGTATTACGAAAATTATAAAAAAAAATATATGTATCA